AACACTGAACATTGGGGTACCCCACTAATAACACTGAACCTTGGGGTACACCACTAATAACACTGAACCTTGGGGTACCCCACTAATAACACTGACCTTGGGGTACCCCACTAATAACACTGAGCCTGGGTGTACCCCACTAATAACACTGAACATTGGAATACCCCACTAATAACACTGAACCCTGGGGTACCCCACTAATAACACTGAACCCTGGGGTACACCACTAATAACACTGAACCTTGGGGTACCCCACTAATAACACTGAACCTTGGGGTACCCCACTAACACTGAACCTTGGGGTAACCACTAACAACACTGAACCTTGGGGTACCCGACTAATAACACTGAACCCTGGGGTACACCACTAATAGCACTGAACCTTGAGGGCCCCACTAATAACACTGAACCTTGGGGTACACCACAAATAACACTGAACCTTGGGGGTACACCACTAATACACTAAACCTTGGGGTACCCACTAATAACACTGAACCTTGGGGTGCCCACACTAATAACACTGAACCTTGGGGGCCCCCCCACTAATAACACTGAACCTTGGGGTACCCCACTAATAACACTGAACCTTGGGGTACCCCACTAATAACACTGAACCTTGGGGTACACCACTAATAACACTGAACCTTGAGGAACCCCACTAATAACACTGAGCCTTGGGTACACCACTAACATGAACCTTGGGGTACCCCACTAATAACACTGAACCTTGGGGTACCCCACTAATAACACTGAACCTTGGGGTACCCCACGAATAGCACTAATCCTTGGGGGCCCCACTAATAACACTGAACCTTGGGGTACCCCACTAATAACACTGAACCTTGGGGTACACCAGTAATAACACTGATCCTTGGGGTACCCCACTAATAGCACTAAACCTTGGGGTACCCCACTAACACTGAACCTTGGGGTACACCGCTAACAATAAACCCTTGCAGTACCCCACTAATACCACTGAGCCTTGGAGTATCCCACTAATAACATTGAACCTTGGGGTACCCCACTAATAACACTGAGCCTTGGGGTACCCCACTAATAACACTGATCCCTGGGGTACCCCGCTAATAACACTGAACCTTGAAGTACACCACTAATAACACTAAACCCTGGGGTACCCCACTAATAACACTGAACCTTGGGGTACCCCACTAATACCACTGAACCTTGGGGTACCCCACTAATAACACTAAACCTTGTAGTACCCCACTAAAAGGACTGAACTTGGGGTACACCGCTAATAACAATGAACCTTGGGGTACACCACTAATAACACTGAACCTTGGGGTACCCCACTAACACTGAACCTTGGGGTACACCACTAATACCACTGAACCTTGGGGTAACCCACTAACACTGAACCTTGGGGTACACCACTAATAACACTGAACCTTGGGGTACCCCACTAATAACACTGAGCCTTGGGGTACCCCACTAATAACACTGAACCTTGGGGTACCCCACTAATAACACTGAACCTTAGGGTACCCCACTAATAACACTGAACCTTGGTGTACCCCACTAATAACACTGAACATTGGAATACACCACTAATAACACTGAACCTTGGGGTACCCCACTAATAACACTGAACCTTGGGGTACACCACTAATAACACTGAGCCTTGGGGTACCCCACTAATACCACTGAACCTTGGGGTTCCCCACTAATAACACTGAACCTTAGGGTACCCCACTAATAACACTGAACCTTGGTGTGTACCCCACGAATAACACTGAACATTGGAATACACCACTAATAACACTGAACCCTGGGGTACCCCACTAATAACACTGAACCTTGGGGTACACCACTAATAACACTGAACCTTAGGGTACCCCACTAATAACACTGAACCTTGGGGTACCCCACTAACACTGAACCTTGGGGTAACCCACTAACAACACTGAACCTTGGGGTACCCGACTAATAACACTGAACCTTGGGGTACACCACAAATAACACTGAACCTTGGGGTACCCACTAATAGCACTAAATCTTGGGGGCCCCACTAATAACACTGAACCTTGGGGTGCCCCACTAATAACACACTGAACCTTGGGGTACCCCACTAATAACACTGAACCTTGGGGTACACCACGAATAGCACTGAACCTTGGGGTACCCCACTAATAACACTGAACCTTTGGGGTATACTCCACTAACACTGAACCTTGGGGTACACCACTAATCACACAACCTTGGGGTACCCCACTAATAACACTGAACATTGAGGAACCCCACTAATAACACTGAACCTTGGGGTACATCACTGAACCTTGTGGTACACCACTAACCATGAACCTTGGGGTACCCAACTAATAACACTGAACCTTGGGGTACCCCACTAATAACACTGAACCTTGGGGGTACCCCACTAATAACACTGAACCTTGGGGTACACCACGAATAGCACTAATCCTTGGGGGCCGCACTAATAACACTGAACCTTGGGGTACCCCACTAATAACACTGAACCTTGGGGTACACCAGTAATAACACTGATCCTTGGGGTACCCCACTAATAGCACTAAACCTTGGGGTACTCCACACTAACACTGAACCTTGGGGTAACCACTAATAGCACTAAACCTTGGGGTACCCCACTAACACTGAACCTTGGGGTACACCGCTAACAATTAAACCTTGCAGTACCCCACTAATATCACTGAACCTTGGGGAGTATCCCACTAATAACACTGAACCCCAGGGGTACCCCACTAATAACACTGAACCTTGGGGTAACCACTAATAACACTGAGTCCCTTGGGGTACCCCACTAATAACACTGAACCTTGGGGTACCCCACTAATAACACTGAGCCTTGGGGTACCCCACTAATAACACTGAGCCTTGGGGTACCCCGCTAATAACACTGAACCTTGAAGTACACCACTAATAACACTAAACCTTGGGGTACACCACTAACAATGAACATTGGGGTACCCCACTAATACCATTGAACCTTGGGTACCCCACTAATAACACTGAACCTTGTAATACCCCACTAAAAGGACTGAACCTTGGGGTACACCGCTAACAATGAACCTTGATGTACCCCACTAATAACACTTAACCTTGGGGTACCCCACTAATAACACTGAACCTTGGGGTACACCACTAATAACACTGATCCCTGGGGTACCCCACTAATAATACTGAACCTTGTGGTACCCCACTAATAACACTGAACCTTGGGGTACACCACTAATATCACTGAACCTTCGGGTACCCCACTAATAACACTGAACCTTGGGGTACCCCACTAATCACACTGAACCTTGGGGTACCCCACTAATCACACTGAACCTTGGAGTACCCCACTAAATAACACTGAACCTTGGGGTACACCACTAATAATACTGAACCTTGTGGTACCCCACTAATAACACTGAACCTTGGGGTACACCACTAATAACACTGAACCTTGGGGTACCCCACTAATATCACTGAACCTTGGGGTACCCCACTAATCACACTGAACCTTGGAGTACCCCACTAATAACACTGAACCTTGGGGTACCCCACTGACACCCCTAGACCATTCAGAGTATGAATCATTACCACTACTCTCTGAATACGATCTTTTAGCCAGTTTTCTATCCATTTACATTCAGATTTTTCCAGCCCATAGACTTTACCTTACACATCAGCCGTGTGTGTGTGGGGAACTGTGTCCAAGTATACCACGTCCACCACCACCCCTCTGTCCAAGTATACCACGTCCACCGCCACCCCTCTGTCCAAGTATACCACGTCCACCGCCACCCCTCTGTCCGAGTATACCACGTCCACCGCCACCCCTCTGTCCGAGTGTACCACGTCCCACCGCCACCCCTCTGTCCGAGTGTACCACGTCCACCGCCACCCCCCTCTGTCCGAGTGTACCACGTCCACCGCCACCCCCTCTGTCCGAGTGTACCACGTCCACCGCCACCCCTCTGTCCGAGTGTACCACGTCCACAGCCACACCCCTCTGTCCGAGTGTACCACGTCCACCGCCACCCCTCTGTCCGAGTGTACCACGTCCACCGCCACCCCCACCCCTCTGTCCGAGTGTACCACGTCCACCGCCACCCCTCTGTCCAAGTATACCACGTCCACCGCCACCCCTCTGTCCGAGTATAACCACTACGTCCACCGCCACCCCTCTGTCCGAGTATACCACGTCCACCGCCACCCCCCTCTGTCCGAGTGTACCACGTCCACCGCCACCCCCTCTGTCCGAGTGTACCACGTCCACCGCCACCCCTCTGTCCGAGTGTGTACCACGTCCACAGCCACCCCTCTGTCCGAGTGTACCACGTCCACCGCCACCCCTCTGTCCGAGTGTACCACGTCCACCGCCACCCCTCTGTCCGAGTGTACCACGTCACACCGCCACCCCTCTGTCCGAGTATACCACGTCCACCGCCACCCCTCTGTCCGAGTATACCAAGTCCACCGCCACCCCCCTGTCCGAGTATACCACGTCCACCGCCACCCCTCTGTCCGAGTATACCAAGTCCACAGCCACCCCTCTGTCCGAGTATACCACGTCCACCGCCACCCCTCTGTCCGAGTATACCAAGTCCACCGCCACCCCTCTGTCCGAGTATACCACGTCCACCGCCCACCCCTCTGTCCAAGTATACCACGTCCACCAAAACCCCTCTGTCAAGTATACCACGTCCACGCGCCCCCCTCTGTCCAAGTATACACGTCCACCAAAACCCCTCTGTCCAAGTATACCACGTCCACCGCCACCCCTCTGTCCAAGTATACCACGTCCACCGCCACCCCTCTGTCCAAGTATACCCACGACCACCGCCACCCCTCTGTCCAAGTATACCACGTCCACCGCCACCCCTCTGTCCAAGTATACCACGTCCACCGCCACCCCTCTGTCCAAGTATACCACGTCCACCGCCCCCCCTCTGTCCAAGTATACCACGTCCACCGCCACCCCTCTGTCCAAGTATACCACGTCCACCAACACCCCTCTGTCCAAGTATACCACGTCCACCGCCACCCCTCTGTCCAAGTATACCACGTCCACCGCCACCCCTCTGTCCAAGTATACCACGTCCACCAACACCCCTCTGTCCAAGTATATCACGTCCACAGCCACCCCTCTGTCCAAGTATACCACGTCCACCGCCACCCCTCTGTCCAAGTATACCACGTCCACCGCCACCCCTCTGTCCAAGTATTACCACGTCCACCGCCACCCCTCTGTCCAAGTATACCACGTCCACCGCCACCCCTCTGTCCAAGTATACCATATCCACCACCATCCCTCTGTCCAAGTATACCACGTCCACCGCCACCCCTCTGTCCAAGTATACTACGTACACAGCCACCCCTCTGTCCCAGTATAACCACGTCCACAGTCACCCCTCTGTCCGAGTATACCACGTCCGCCGCCACCCCTCTTTCCAAGAATACCACATCACCACCATCACCCCTCTGTCCAAATATACCATGTCCACGGCCACCCCTCTGTCCAAGTATACCACGCCCACCGCCACCCCCTCTGTCCAAGTATACCACGCCCACCGCCACCCCTCTGTCCAAGTATACCACGTCTTCCACCGCCACCCCTCTGTCCAAGTATACCACGTCCACCGCCACCCCTCTGTCCGAGTATACCACGTCCACCGCCACCCCTCTGTCCGAGTGTACCACGTCCACCGCCACCCCCTCTGTCCGAGTGTACCACGTCCACCGCCCCCCCCTCTGTCCGAGTGTACCACGTCCACACGCGCCACCCCTCTGTCCGAGTGTACCACGTCCCACAGCCACCCCTCTGTCCGAGTGTACCACGTCCACCGCCACCCCTCTGTCCGAGTGTTACCACGTCCACCGCCACCCCTCTGTCCGAGTGTACCAACGTCCACCGCCCACCCCTCTGTCCAAGTATACCACGTCCACCGCCACCCCTCTGTCCGAGTATACCACGTCCACCGCCACCCCTCTGTCCGAGTATACCACGTCCACCGCCACCCCCTCTGTCCGAGTGTACCACGTCCACCCCACCCCCTCTGTCCGAGTGAGTGTACCACGTCCACCGCCACCCCTCTGTCCGAGTGTACCACCACACGTCCACAGCCACCCCTCTGTCCGAGTGTACCACACGTCCACCGCCACCCCTCTGTCCGAGTGTACCACGTCCACCGCCACCCCTCTGTCCGAGTGTACCACGTCCACCGCCCACCCCTCTGTCCGAGTATACCACGTCCACCGCCACCCCTCTGTCCGAGTATACCAAGTCCACCGCCACCCCTCTGTCCGAGTATACCACGTCCACCGCCACCCCTCTGTCCGAGTATACCAAGTCCACAGCCACCCCTCTGTCCGAGTATACCACGTCCACCGCCACCCCCTCTGTCCGAGTATACCAAGTCCACCGCCACCCCTCTGTCCGAGTATACCACGTCCACCGCCACCCCTCTGTCCAAGTATACCACGTCCACCAAAACCCCTCTGTCCAAGTATACCACGTCCACCGCCACCCCTCTGTCCAAGTATACCACGTCCACCAAAACCCCTCTGTCCAAGTATACACACGTCCACCGCCACCCCTCTGTCCAAGTATACCACGTCCACCGCCACCCCTCTGTCCAAGTATACCACGACCACCGCCACCCCTCTGTCCAAGTATACCACGTCCCACCGCCACCCCTCTGTCCAAGTATATACCACGACCACCGCCACCCCTCTGTCCAAGTATACCACGTCCACCGCCACCCCTCTGTCCAAGTATACCACGTCCACCGCCACCCCTCTGTCCAAGTATACCACGTCCACCAACACCCCTCTGTCCAAGTATACCACGTCCACCGCCACCCCTCTGTCCAAGTATACCACGTCCACCGCCACCCCTCTGTCCAAGTATACCACGTCCCACCAACACCCCTCTGTCCAAGTATATCACGTCCACAGCCACCCCTCTGTCCAAGTATACCACGTCCACCGCCACCCCTCTGTCCAAGTATACCACGTCCACCGCCACCCCCTCTGTCCAAGTATACCACGTCCACCGCCACCCCTCTGTCCAAGTATACCACGTCCACCGCCACCCCTCTGTCCAAGTTATACCATATCCACCACCATCCCTCTGTCCAAGTATACCACGTCCACCGCCACCCCTCTGTCCAAGTATACTACGTACACAGCCACCCCTCTGTCCCAGTATACCACGTCCACAGTCACCCCTCTGTCCGAGTATACCACGTCCGCCGCCACCCCTCTTTCCAAGAATACCACATTCACCATCACCCCTCTGTCCAAATATACCATGTCCACGGCCACCCCTCTGTCCAAGTATACCACGCCCACCGCCACCCCTCTGTCCAAGTATACCACGCCCACCGCCACCCCTCTGTCCAAGTATACCACGTCCACCGCCACCCCTCTGTCCAAGTATACCACGTTCACCGCCACCCCCTCTGTCCAAGTATACCAACGTCAACCTCCACCCCTCTGTCCGAGTATACCACATCCACCGTCGCCCCTCTGTCCGAGTATACCACGTCCACCGTCACCCCTCTGTCCGAGTATACCACGTCCAACCCACCCCTCTGTCCAAGTATACCACGTCCACCGTCACCCTCTGTCCAAGTATACCACGTCCACCGTTACCCCTCTGTCCGAGTATACCATGTCCACCCGCCACCCCTCTGTCCGAGTATACCCACATCCACCGCCACCCCTCTGTCCGAGTATACCAGTCCACAGCCACCCCTCTCCCCCGAGTATACCACATCCACCGCCCAACCCCTCTGGCCGAGTATACCACGTCCCCCGCCACCCCTCTGGCCGAGTATACCACATCCACCGCCGCCACCCCTCTGGCCGAGTATATACCACGTCCACCCCTCTGTCCCAGTATACCATGTCCACAGTCACCCCTCTGTCCCAGTTATACCACGTCCACAGTCACCCCTCTGTCCCAGTATACCACATCCACAGCCACCCCTCTGCCCAAGTATACCACATCCACCGCCACCCCTCTGTCCCGAGTATAGTACGGTCCACAGCCACCCCTCTGTCCCAGTATATCCCACGTCCACAGTCACCCCTCTGTCCCAGTATACCACGTCACCACAAAGTCACCCCTCTGTCCGAGTATGCCACGTCCGCCGCCTCCAGTCCTGCCCAAGTATTACCAAGTCCACCGCCACCCCCTCTTTTCCAGTAGAGATACCACATCACCAATCACGACCCTCTGTCCAATAATATACCATGAGTCAGCACGGCCTACCTCCCTCTGTCCCAATGTTATACCATCGTCCACCGCCACCCTTCTCTGTCCCAGTTAATAGCATACCACGCCTCCACCGCCACCCCTCTGTCCAAGTATATCACGCCCAGTCGCCACCCCACTCTGTCCAATATTACCACGTCCGCACCCCTCTGTCCAAGTATACCACGTCCACCGCAACCCCTCTGTCCAAGTATACCTCACGTCCACCGCCACCCCTCTGTCCAAGGGATACCACGTTCTCTCTAGTGGAGTCCCTAAACTACGTCCACGTCACCCTCTGTCCGAGTATACCACGACCTCCGTCACCCCCTCTGTCCAAGTATACCACGTCCACCGCGTCACCCCTCTGTCCAAGTATACCACAGCCCGAACGCCACTCCCTCTGTCCAAGTATATCACGCCCACCCTTGTCCAAGTATATACGTCCACACCACCCCTTCCAAGTATACCCGTCCACCGCCACCCCTCTGTCCAAGTTTAAAAAACGTCCACCCACCCCTTGTCCCCAAATATACCCTCTATTGCCACTCCCCCTGTCCAGTATATCATGCACCCCCACCCCCCCGTCCATGTTTCAAAAACTGAGGGGTACAATTTGGGGGGCAAAGGTGGAGAAAAAATCGGGGGGGCAATGGTAGAAAGGGG